ATATGTTATGAATAATCAGTAAAATGCCAAAAGGTATAGGGGATTTCTATCCGTGCAGCAGTTTTCAATGGGCCTAAACTGGTGATAATTAGGCTGATTAAGGGTTTTCGGAACAAACTGGACTCCGTTGCTAGCTCCGTTGTCACTGTACCATTGTTGTACTTCCCGGCTGTAGTGACAACTCGTAAGATCCGGCCAAAATGTCATCGAACCATCATGTGACTGGATGAAGGGCATAATTCGCTCTTGTTTTGTAAACCTTCGAGTTCATCATTTTCTCAGTCATGAAAACCTTCTTCTGGCCACAGCTGCAAGATCATATATTTGCGTGCGAATTTATCCGCAAAAACCAAAATTTAATCTGCCAGGGACACCGCTCGAGCCTTCGCCTTGTAAAATGTTGGTCCTGGAAGCTGTCCGAAGTCGGCCTTTACATAGGTTTCATCATCCATAAGTATGCACCCACCGGACTCAGTCTACAGGTTGTCATACAACCTTCAAGCACGGGTTCTGGCTACGGTATTATCAACAATCAATACGAAACTAACGATTTTAAATTGGCTCACCACTTTAGTAGCCTATTGGTCCCAAGCAAACGATTAACGTACCCTATTCTAGTTGAAATTCTATTACTACACTATGTTTGTTTTGATTCGCTATGAAAGTTTGACAGATAACATCAGGGGTGTGTGGATTCATGCAGAACATGCAGGGGTGAGTGAAATAGCTTGGGACTGCTTGGGACCGTTGTTCTGGTACTGAGTGAGCCAAAAATAATGATGATTTTCTTCGGGACCCAGTTACCTCTATGGTATTATGCTTGAGTGATTCGGTTGGCTACTGGCGCGGTTTTTCGGTAAACCTTCGTTTGAAAATTGCACGAATGTGCAACTGTTGCTATGATAGTTAAAATTATCATCGATTGCCTGCAAAAAGCGATTTCCCTAACACGGACTTCAAAGTTGAGTACCAACCGATCTCACCAAACGGTGTTTATTCAACCACCACGTGGTGAGTGGTGGTCTTCTCCAGTACACAATGAAAGGCTCCCCACAAGCAGCTAGCTATCAAGGCTGGCCTCAACCGCTTATCGGATTCAGCTGCTATCACCGTGTATGGTGGTGTGCGGTCGTCGGCATCAGCAGCAGCAGTGCTTTCGGTACGTGGCGTTGAACATTGTTCTCCAGTACACAGCGAAAGGCTGCCTGCAAGGAGCGAGCTGCAGCCCACATGAGCATCCATAGAAGGAGGAAGTAGCCGCACCGCTATTGATCGGAATAAGTAGCTCTTCGTGAGTCGCTACAGCAATGCCAAACGCGTCACCCTCATTCGAAACAACATACAGCTAACCAGCCTCATCTGTGTTTAACACCCTAAGGGAACATGTATAAATGACGTAGCATTTGAGGGGGGAGGTGGGGGTTTCAGAATTTGCGACCAGCCATGTATTGGATATAGCAAAATACGCTACGAGGGGGTAGGAGGGGTCTAAAATTGATCAAAAATATGCTACGTCATTTATGGATGCGCCTTAATAGCTCAGCACTACTCAAACATCACGACAAAACGCTCCTTTTCAGGACCACTATAAATTTGTAAAAGAGTATTTTTTGGACATTTGTCAAAGTCATCAATCGTTCAGTTCCCATATCAAGATAGAGATGGAATTAAGGAGCAACAGCTTTTGTAAACAATTACTTCTTTCGATGATGTCTTGAAAGGCAAGGCTCGCCCACGCAAATCAACATCACCAACAGGTAGGGTAAAACTTCCTATATCCGACGGTAATGTTGGTTTTGCGTGAGCGGCCTTGAATTCCTAAAAATCATCGAAAGAAGTCATTGTTTACAAAAAGCTGTTACGCCAAATTCTAACTCTATCTAGATATGTTTAAATCTAACATACCATGTTCTTGAAAGCAACATTGGTGGGTGCAATTTCAAAAACCAAAGTCGGTCGCGACATGAAAGTGATCTGATTTTGATCCAGAGATGATGGATTTTAATTCTTAATGCGCCAATCGATAGGAATTTTTCCACGAATCTGTTAAAATTAAGACTTTATCATTTTTCAAAATGTCACTATTGAAAATTTGCTATGACCATTAAAATTATCACCGATTGCCTGCAAAAAGCGATTTCCCTAACACAGATTTCAAAGTTGAATTCGATCCGGTCTCACCAAACGGTGTTTATTCAATCACCGCGTGGTGAGTGGTGGTGCGAGCTGCAGCCCACATGAGCATCCATAGAAGGAGGAAGAAGGCGCAGCACTATTGATCGGAATCAGTAGCTCTCGGTGAGTCGCTGTGGGCCATCTATGGCAAGCGCGTCATACTAAAGAGTATAAACAGAGGTAACCCCGTTCAAATTCCTATTCCTACACAAAACACAAGCTCCTGCTGCAACAAATAAGATTTATGATATAAGAATACGTAGTCCTACGTCCCCATTGCAAACAACCCCTTGGGGCTGTCCCTTGTAGTTTTTTTACTCAAATCGCGCTCGGACATACCTGGCTTGCTACTGATGGCCTTCACGACCTGTTCACGGAGCTGACGGTTCGTAATTCCACTCCAGCGTTTACTTTGAGGCTTCCGATTCGCCGTAAAGATGTACCTGTACGTTTTGAGCACGCGCCAAACGATGTTCCTAGGAAAATTCAACACTTGAGCCAGCTTGGACGCAGCGGGACGCAGACGATGATGTATTTTCCAGGTGACTGCACGATTTTTTGTCTACACCCCTCTTGCATGGTGATTGGCTCCAAAACAAGAACGTTTTATGAATAGAAAAAATACACTGTTATTGTTATTGTCAACAAATAGACGTTAAAAGCTTCCGAAAACGTCCACTAGGAGCGCTGTAATAAGCAAAAGAGTTTGTTCCATTACTAAGCATGCCATGCTTTATGCAAGTTGGAGGGGCACCGGATGAATTCCCGCTCTAAGCGGAAAGCCCGGAAGCAGGTAGAAAAGCAACAACGGAACGAAGTTCTGAATGTTAGCAGTACACTTGAGGAGATGTGGTAGAAATGGACGTGACGACCTCGGATGCCGAGAAGAACAGTGCAGTTTCAAGCATGGAAATGACGCGAATTATGGCTACACATTTTTGTAGAACTGTAAAGGTATAACTCTTCAATCACACGTCTTATCATAATTAGTTATGCGTAAATGATCATCATCACGTTAGCCTTACTTATAACGTATCTAGTCAGTGTTTAAAACAAATATTAAAGACGTAAAACTATAACATTTATACAAGAATCTTGGAAATTTGGAAATCTAATCAGGATTCAGATACTGCAGAAAATTTCTTTGGATTCCAAAGGTGTTTTGAGCATTGGCGTAAGTACGAGGGTGGGGGGCTACGGCCCCCTACGATTATTGTAGCCCCTCTAGAATTGTTACTACAATTACTTATTTTCCTTAAACATCAAAATTGTTCGCTGATTACTTTATTGAGAAATTCGAAAAATAAATTTAGCCCCCTAGGATTTTTCATTAGTTACCCAACAAACAATTTTAGTTGCAGACTAGCTTATACAGGCAAAAATTAACTGTATAAGCCAATTTTTGGCTGTATAAGCTAATCTGCAGCTAAAATTGTTAGTTGGGTATGCCAATGGTTTTCAGCACAATTTAACAGAAATTCCTGAGTAATTCTGAGAAGAACTACAAGAAGCTTGTAAGGAGAAATAATGTTAAATTCAAAGGCAGCTCCAAGACGAGTTCCATGGCATTATGAAAAGAATTTCAAAGAATTCAAGAGCTACACTACCCATAATCGCATATCTGTGCCACCTTTGCTTGATTTCCTATCCATATGGGACTGATATGCGATTATGGGCAGTACAAGACAACACCAAAGGAATCAAACTCTAAGGATAGTTCAAATTTCTTCAAATTCTAATGTAATCCGTTCCAGCAGGCCTGCGTTCAATTCCAGTCGGCGCCGCCGGAATATTCTGAGGCATAACAACTCTGATCGATAGGTAGGGTCCAGGTGTGAGAGCTGCCTCCCTGGCGTCGGTAGCATTGGTGCTCAGCACGGAAAACAAACCAAAAGAAATAAATAAATAATGTAATCCATTTCCGAGGAAAACCTCCAGCTTAATTTTTAGGCGAATTTCAAGGATTCTCAAGAGAATTCTAAGAATTCAGAGGTATCTAAATTAGAGAAGGAAATTATGAAAATAATTATGGAGATAAACGTTAGCAAACTATCACGACAAAAAAAGGTTCTCAGGAAATTGCAGAGTGAATTCAAAAAAATTTATGAAGAGAAATTCTCAGGTGTTCCGCAAAGAATTTCGAAGGGTCATGGACAAAATTAAATTGATTAATTTCAGAAGGTTCATAACTCGTTTTCGGTTATTATTATAACTAATATTATTAAATATTAAAGTTAATAATGCTTTTTTCGTCCTAGTAAATCATCTTCTTATTCTTCGCATTGTAAGCTTATTGCTTTTCACATATCAGCTTATTGTGTGCTCTCAACTTAGTGTTCTAGATGCACTTCCACAGTTATTAATTGAGAGCTTTCGATGCCTGTACCATTATTTGTGTGGCAAGCGAGTACCCACATTAGATCCGGAAAGGACGCGTTGCGGCAAAGTGACAGCTAAATCTATTGTCTAACTGTCAAATTTACGTCAACGCAAACGGATCTAATGTGAGTGGCCCTTAATACTATATGCCCAGGGAAGTCAAGAAATTTCCCAACCCAAAAATTCCTAGACTCCAGCATGGTTTTGCTTTGTAGCTGCGCCTTTAGCGACTGAGCTAAGGGAGGCCCTTAGCCCTTGTTAATCAATCTATAACAAAAATAAATCAAAAACCCCACCTTTGCTTCGAAGCCAGGCTACGGCTTTTGTGAAAACAAAAATTAAAAAAGTATGCTCACAGTAAAGCTCTATATGGCAATCTTGCCCTAACTATGCTTTCTCTAAAGTGGAATATGGTTCGATTTCCCTCAGTGAATTCGTATATTTTATCAGCACATCTTTCTTGCATCCCTATTCGATTTACCTGAATTGTACGTTCGATTGAAGGGATGCAACCGAGCATGGAGCCTTGCCGTTAGCATGCTGGTAAACTCTACTCCACACACGTTGCACTTCAACGAGTTCACTTGAACTTCCTTTGGCCTTGGATCTAAATTCGCTTTCTTCTTCGGCTTAGGCTTGGTCTGTCTTATGGGTCTTGCACTGCTACTGCTGCTGGAACTACTGCTATTACTATCCGATTCCGTTTGCTGCTTTTCCTTTCTAACCGTTTTCGACTCCTTAATGTGACCTTCCAGATGGTTCGCCATATCGCTGGTGGTGATTCCACAAAGTTGACAAACTGTTTTAAACATCTCTTCGTCATGTATCCTGTGAATTCTATAGCACGAGGAAGAATAATCTTCGACATATTCATCTTCATCATCCGTTCCCTCCGCTTCCTCGTTACTGCTATCCACCAGGTCTATATGGTCCACTTGCGGTTCAACAATCGTAACCGAATCATCCAGTATCGTATCATCCTCTACTTCATTTGACTCGTCATTCCCTTCATTTTCCACTACTACACTCTTCGTTGCTTCTATCGGCTTTTCCGACTGGAACGCAGCGGAATCATCGATCTCCACCGGATCTTCCTCCTTGATCGCATCAACAGGTTCACTCGAAACTTGCTTTTCCTTCCCTTTCCTATTCCCCACAGATCGTTTTCTTTTCCTAGACCTGCGGCGTTTGGTCACTTCTTTGTCCAATGCATAATATACATTCGAAGGTTCCACCGTCCGGAGCAGAATCTCCATTTCGTGATACAGCTTTTTCACCACCCTACAAACGCCAATCAGCATTCGCTTTTCCTCTTCATTATCCAGCCACGGCTTCCGGACGACAAACTCCTTGCTAGCCATCACAATCTTGTGCGCCTCACCGCAGGCATGCAAGTAGTCCTGAATCATGCGCCACATCGAGAAGCAATCGCTGCAAACGTGGGAGTTTTCCGCCGTGAACTGGAAATTGAATTTATGCGGTTGTTCAAGTTACATACTTTGAATCTTATCACACATATCTACCTCAATCGATAACATCTTCTGAACGAAATCATGCAGTGGATTCAGCTGGATATCCTCGGAGTCACCGCAGATCGAAAAAGAACCCAGCGGTTCGATGAGCTTCAGACAGAAGCGGCACTGGTTGAAGACGATGTCCGGCTTTTCCATCGTTTAATGCTGTTTAACTTAAGCTTAATAAGTTTGGAATTTCACTTAATTAACTTACGCGCAGATGTTGCTTTTCCATGAAAATGTTTCACCAACTCCGATTACGGTCTCCTGCCCATGACGCCGATAAATGACAACAAAACAAAGTTTGTGCAGTGAGTGTATAAAGCTTAATGTCAAAAAAATGCATTTTCTGGATGCATTTGAGCTCCGAATGCAACCGCTTCGCTGGGCAAGTGCCGCTGTAACAGGATTGAACCGCAGAGAGGAGTACCAGAGAACACGGAGAAAAAATACAACCCAAAATTTGAGTTCTTTTTACTTAATATTGAGTTCAGCCTTTCACTTGCACTCTTTATCACCGACAAACCGACATGAATGAATGAATGAACAAATTGCAAAAAAAAATCTGATCAAAGCACAAAACTGACATCTGCCACCGTGTTCGCGGAACATATTTATCCTACACGGATACGAATTTTGTTCATTTAAATCAAAAATATTAATGTTTATACTCTAAACATATGAATTATTCAAAGTAAATTGAAGGTATGTTTAAAATTAAAATATTTATGTTTGAATTAAATTCAAAAGCATGTTTATTTCAACAATATCGAAATTTCAATTGTAGTTGACAGCATCTGTCACTGAAGTGTTTGTGTTTGACTGACAATGATCGGTTTATGTATGTGGCGAATAAGAATGGAATCCTTGGCGGCGATAAAGGCGCAGAAGACCAAGCAGAAAACGGTAGTTCTTTCGCTGGTCATTTCGCAGGATCTGGTGTAGTGGCCCATGAAATCAAGGACTGGACGGAGTGACACTGGAGCTGGTGACCACAGAACATTCGTTGCTACCGGGGGTTTTCCGGATGAAGGGCTGATCCCGGCATGCAAATAAAAGCGCACGATTGTTGATTTAACCTAATCGCACACTTTTATTTATTTCATCGCACATTCGAAAATAATTTATAATATTAAATAGAAAATCGTGAACATTAAATACCAAGGGGTAACTCACTCTGCCACCTTGTGTTTAACACTCCGAAAACACAGTTCGACACACTCCAAACACACTTCCACCAGAATTTTCTATTAATTCTGGCACCACTTCCATGACTGTTTACATTCGATCAAGTATTCGATTGTTATGTTTATAAACAGTAGCTTTGCATCTACGACGAATGTGTTACTCTTTACTCGTATTGGCAAACAGCAACTGATATTCGTAAAACATGATGGATTTTTCCTTACCTTTTCACTCCACTGAAAAAGCCTGAAACTGTTTTTTTCTGCTCCAGACTTAATTATTTACAATAAAATTATAAAACTAGCAAGGTAAACCTGAGACTGAATTATTTTACACCAGCCAGGACACCAGCAGAACAAAACCCGTCCGTCCATCCGTGTTGATTTTTTTAGAAATGGATGACGTAAGCTTTTATTCAGCTTTTTTGAAAATAAATTAAACACACAACAAATTTCCAGGATTATTTCTGGATGAAAATCGAAGCAGTGTATGGTAACGTAAGTCTTCACATCAAGTCTATACACCAGCTATCGAACCTGGTAAGCATGTCATTAGCAAGGCTGACCAGGGAAGAAATATTGCTCATTTAGAGAGATATACGAGAGATGGCACAGGACGTGGCAGAGAAGGCAGCCATTGGTGGACCATCTCTCGAAAGTTTGTATGGGAGATACGCGGATCGACCACATGAGTTTAGTTTCATGGAGGGAGAGATCTTGTGCATTCTGGATCTTGCGGATATTGTGCGAACAAATGGCATTAGCCCGTTTTTGAAAGCACGTAAAAAAAGTGCGAATCAGGGCGTGTCAATGCATCTTGGGTCCGTCGAGGAACAAGACGATGAATTTGATGGCCACAAGGAAAAACTCCGAATGAAGATTGAAGCCCGTTTCACCAATCCGTAAGTATACAGAAGGGTGAAATTAAAATGAAATTTGCGAATTTAGAATGCACTACTTGTACCAAACTTGTACCAAGCTTGTACCAAAAAGGTATTTTGACCGACTTCATTAATGTGACACTTGGTCCTGATCATTCTAAAATCCAAGCTAATGTAATTGTAACCTTTGAATTAAAATTTTAATTTTCTGTTTCGTAGGAAATATCACTTCGATCACCAATACTTCATGTCAAACTTGATGATTGCTGTGTACCGTTGCCAGGAACAATACCGAGCGGAAATTATTTGTCCGTTGTGTACTTTTTCCGGAAAAAATACTAAGCTCTCAGCAATCGCTGATGCTGCTGGTAACTGGAACTGGAGTATATATAGTTTTACGCGGCATGTTGCCCTGAAGCATCCTAGTGGCTCGGATTTGGTTGCGTCCATACTCTCCAAACGGCGTGCTTCTGATGCTGTCAGTCCAGAAATTTAATCTCCTCCGAAGGTGCTTTTGGAGGCGGATGATATTGAGAACAAGATCCCAAGCAAGAGTTATATTCAGCTTGAGTCGTCTACAGGGTCGTCCATTTCAAACGAAGCTGATGAAGATCCGAGTGTCATCGAATGTAAGTTTATCCGTTTATAAGCGTATGTTGAGAAAAAAAGACATTCTATTCTCGCTGTTTTATTTTCGTTATCTTTTAGATTCTGTCGAATTTTTGGAGGACATCCAGGAGGACAGCCCTGATAACAAACATGAGAACACTCAAGGTATCTCTGGCGGCAGACAAAACGACAGCTGTGAAGATATTAATCTTCCACTGAAGAGTGCGGAAGGTATGAATAATATTTAACCACAGACAAACAGACGTAGCTCTTTATTTTGTATCATCGTTCATGCGTTTAGCGATTGATTTGAATATTATCATTTGAGCGAACTGCTCACCGGTACAATGTTTTCAAGTAAAACTTATTCAAAGAGTTACGTCTGTTTGTCTGTGATTTGACTTTATTTTTCGCATACTATACAATCAATAATTTCGTTACACTAGTGTATTTAGTGGCACACCATATGGAAGCCAAAGGAAAAAAATACGAAGAAGATGCTGGCGAAGATCCTTTGCTGATTCAATGAGATATGATGTGTAGTTTTGTTTGTTTGGCTTTACAATTTTCATATCATTTGAGTAATCTGATATTAAAGTACATGATTCGAATCCCTACTAAAGCGCCTGGATTTATAAAGAGGCGACATGTCAAAATTGGAACAATCGATTGTCTGTCAAAGTCATAGAAAAAGTCATTCGCCTCTTTATAAATTCAGGCTCTTTAATCCCTACTTGTTTTTTTTTTTGTCACAGTAACATAGAATTCACACCTGGGCCTGGTGAATCGATTAGCTTGGGACCTAAGATAGTACCAGAGCTGAGCCAAAAAGTTGAGCACGTTTCTTCGGGACCTACTAGTCTTATGTCGTTTTCGTTTTTGCGGTGTAGCACCGGTGTAGTGTAAGCAGGAATAAGCGCGAGTCTTTGACAGCTCAACATCATTTGTTTGTAAACAAAGGTACATCCTAACGGCGCCGGTGGTGTAGTGGTAAGCGTGATTACCTCTCACCCCAGCAGGCCTGGGTTCAATCCCAGTCGGCGCCGCTGGGATGTTCTGAGGCATAACATCTCTGATCACGCCTTCCTTCGGATGGGAAGTAAAGCCGTTGGTCCCCGGTTCATGAGTTGATGGGTTGATAGGTAGGGTCCAGGTGTGGGAGCTGCCTTCCTGGCACGTCGGTAGCATTGGTGCTCAGCACGGAAAACAAGATCGACGAAAAAACAAACAAAAGGAAAAAAAAGGTACATCCTATATCTACACCCTAAAATATTTCGGTGTACGGCAGTGTAGCACCGGTGTAGCTACACCGCAAAAACGAAAACGACATTAGAGTTACCTCTATGGTACAACGGTAGTACAACCATATAGGTAACTCTAAGACCAGAAGGTCCCGAAGAAACGAGCTCAACTTTTTGGCTTAGCTCTGGTACTATCTTCGGTCCCAAGCTTATCGATTCACCCCTCGAAACAAAGGAATATCCAATAACCCCCCATTTTATCTGTCAAACTTTCATACACGGTGTTTCGCGAAAACCCATTAATGGGTATAAAAATACCCATTTCCGCTAAAAGTGCCCCTCCTCATTTAATGGGTAAACTATGGTTTACTCATAAATGGGTAAATGGGTGGTCTGTCAATAAATGGGTGTTTTTTCACCCATTTTCTTATATTGTGTTTACCGTAAAATGGGTGAAAAAATACCCATTTTTACAAATGGAGGATGCAAGCGCTCGTTGATGTAAAAATGTTTTTAAAACATTGAAAATAAATGCAGGTGTTCCGCTCAAATTTTTCACGAAACATTATAATACAAATTATCCATTGTATTAACTTATCCGTAAGCTTCTCCAACGTTTTGGATTCTAACATTTTCCGGAGATCGTTGCTGCGGACAGTAACTGTTTGCATCGAGGTTTGCATTCCCAATGAGCCGGTGACGGAAATGAGACGATAAAATTTCGAAGTGTTTTTTCACCCATTAATGGGTAAAAAATATACCCATTATTCAACCATGAACTGATTCTTTAAATGGGTATTTTTTCACCCATTTTATGATTTCAAAATTCCCCCATTTTTTGACAGCTGCATACATGGTTTGAAAATGGGTATTTTTTTACCCATAAATGGGTTTTCACGAAACACCGTGTAGCGAATCAAAACAAACATTGTGTAGTACTAGAATTTTGACAAGAATGGGATACGTTAATCGATTTGCTTGGGACCAATAGGCTAGTCAAGTAGTGAGCCAATTTAAAATCGTTAGTTTCGTATTGATTGTTGGTACAACCATAGAGGTAACTCTAAGACAAGAAGGTCCCGAAATCACGTGCTCAACTTTTTGGCTCAGCTCTGGTACTCTCTTCGGTCCCAAGCTAATCGATTCACCCCTCGAAACATAGGAAAAACCAATAACCCCTCATTTTATCTGTCAAACTTTCATAGCGAATCAAAACAAACATTGCGTAGTACTAGAATTTCGACTAGAATAGGGTACGTTAATCGTTTGCTTGGGACCAATAGGCTACTAAAGTGGTGAGCCAATTTAAAATCGTTAGTTTCGTATTGATTGTTGGTACAACAGTGAACTTTGTATGTCTGTACAAGGTATAACGGCACAAAATCATTTGTAAACAAACTTTCTAAGGTCCTTTACACGTGAACCGAACTGCGCCCACGCAAACCAATACCACTTTCGGAAAGGTGAGAGTTGCTCCTATCCGATGATGTTGATGGTTTGCGTGAGCGTACTTCGGTTTGCGTGTAAAGGGCCTTAAAAACGTAGTTTACAAAAGCTTTTGTGCCGTTATCAAATGCAACGCCTGAAATTTAATGTCAAAAAATGCATTTTCTGGATGCATTTGAGCTCCGAATCCAACCGCTTCGCTGTGCAAGTGCCGCTGTAACAGGATCGAACCGCAGAGAGAAGTACATGTAAGTGCACGCTATTTCAAAACTACTCAAATTTGGGTAAAATCTACCCAGATCGGTCAAAACTGAACCTACCCAAAAATCGGTAAACTATGTTAGGGATGACAAGTTGCAAAATGAACAAAGTCGATCGGATTCATGTCAATGTTGTTCATTTGTCAACTTGTCACTCCCAACCAAGGGGTAGGTCACTCCGCACACCAATCTTGGGTCATCTTTTTTGTCAGTGTGCCGCAAGTATGCCGATTGTGCCGGTCATAGAGCAAGCTGCGATTGTTTGTAAAATACCCATCCCGGCAACCCGGTATCTCTGACATCTTGAATGTTTTGGTTTGAAATCGCAAGGATAAATCGGATTGAGGATGACGCGGGAAGTGGCGGGTGTGTGAACTTTCGGTGTTTTGTGATCCATAGGGTAATAAAAGTCCTGTGTTTTAGTGTTTTATAATGCCCTAAAAGGCAGACCAGAAATCTAACCTTTCGGCCGGAAAGAGTTTGAACCGGTGGGGAGCATTGTTAGCGACCGACTATAGAGGGTGTTGAATAGACTTCTTTAGTTTGTTTTGTGTGATGTGCAGCATTATTTGAATTAAAGATACGAATAAGGTCTTATTAACTGGCTCTTCCTCTTGAGTCCACTCTAGAACCTATATTTAATATTTAGATCTATAAGTGAACTGCTGGTCTGAGTTCTTCTGATATATTAAATTAGAAGATGTTCTCGAACATACAGTCAAACAGCACGTAATGTTCTGCACAACTTCAATGACAGCTTTCCAGCAGTGTTCCCATTTTATTTACAACAATCTAATGTCTACGAGATTGTGCCGAAGGTATGCCGAAAATGTGCCGATGGATGTGCCCAAGCTGTGTAAAATATAATTCAGGCACAATGTGCTGAGTGACTTACCCCTTGCTCCCAACACAGTTTACCCATATTTGGGTAGATTCAGTTTTGAACGATCTGGGTGGATTCTACCCAAATTTGGGTAGTTTTGAAATAGCGTGTACCACGGATCAAAATCCTCTTATTATTTTGGCAAACTTCTATTGTTCATTATACACACCAAATTCTGAGATCGAGTTCCAGCAAAACGAATTGCTGGACAGCTTCCAGTAAAATCATATTTTACTGAGTGGTCAGTAAATTGAAATATTTTGCTGGATAGGTCAGTAAACTGTGTAAACTGCCAGTTCATTACCGATCACGCTCTGACAATTTCTGTTTACTTTCCAATTTAAGCACAAGCCACCTCGCAAGCCACTATACACACTTAATCTAGCTCGGTAAAATCTCCTACAGCCCATTACCTCGGCATTTACTTTTGCTGATATATCTGCAAAACATCTGTTTGTTAGCTGATATCTCAGCATAATGATATTTGTTAGCTGAGTCTCGGCAATTGTTTTACTGAATCTCGGCGAATAAATTTAAGTGTATACAGCTTCCATGCTCGGTAATAGCGGCCTGTCTGTAAGAATAAATGTATCCTACACTGTGCTTTTTGACACTATCTGGAGGAACAGAAGAAAATGAAACAACACACGCCCTCCAGTTAGTGTCAAAAAGCACAGTGAAGGATACATCTATTCATACAAACAGGCCGCCATTACCGAGCATGGATAGCTGGATAGTCGCTATATTTATAGTCTGGCGGATAGAATTTTGATCTATCAAAAAGCGGAACCAATTCAATATATTGTAGACCAACAATTGAAAAGGTCCTGAATAATATCTCTACGTAGAACATCTCATCAAGGGACCAGTACTTGAAAACGCCAGAAAAGCTCACCGAAACTTCTCCACCGCAACCGAGTAGAACCTCCTACGTCAGCATGAACCCCCCCCCCCCTCCAATAATGGTAAAAATGACTGTGAAGGTCTCTTTATGCCACCATGGTCCTTGTTTCAGTGGTGTTGATAAAATATTGCGCGAAATCTTTTTGCATGTCCTAATCAAAATATACTATAAAACAAACAATAAGCCAAATGATAGTACTTTTCCATAAATGGTTTGGACGATGCTCTGATGTGCACAATAACCATACAATATTTATAAGGGTAGCAGTGGTTATCAAAAGAGAAAGTCAATTAAAAGAATCGATCATAGTAGATAGGACCTCTTGATATGTTCATCGAGATTTATACTCAGCGGCTTTGAACTAGAAAAATGGGTTTAGATTAAGCCAAAATCACTGTTCTTATTTTTTCGTGTACAGGAAAGCCTTTCCAAATTTGTTCCGCTTTCGGTGCGTTCCTATTGCAAACTGATGAAATGACAGATCGAAAGTCTTTTTCCGAAACGTCACCCGACAACGAGCCTTTTCTACACTTCCGTTTCTCAAAGCAAAACAGAGAAATTTTAAGGTAAAGCGAAATTCCGGGATTTTTTAGTGTTTAAGACATTAAAAGTGTATTTTTTCGTGATAAATTTGCACAGGAAGTAAGAATTGTGTCGAGTAAATACGACACAACTGCGGTGGATGGCTATTTGTCGTGAAAAAACGTGAAAATTTCGATCGGCTTGCCATGCATGTACCACTGACCGTCATCAGTGAGCTCCCGTCAAACGCTTGACGGGAAGCTCCCCTTCCCTAACCTTCAACGAACGATGTTTTGAACCGCTGGAAACGTTATTGATCGGTGATTTCCTTACTTTGTTTCAGCAGCTTGCAGAATGGCTCCCCGCAAGAATAAAACCGTAAAGGAAGAAGTCCAGGTCTCCCTGGGACCCCAGGTCCGCGAGGGTGAGATTGTGTTCGGAGTGGCTCATATTTACGCCAGCTTCAACGACACCTTCGTCCATGTCACCGATCTGTCCGGAAAGGAAACCATCTCCCGTGTCACCGGTGGAATGAAGGTCAAGGCCGATCGTGATGAGGCTTCGCCCTACGCCGCTATGTTGGCCGCTCAGGTGAGTTTAATTGATTATCTTCTCGTAAAGTACAGCGATTTTTCCGGTCCGAATTTACCATGTTGAGGGAACTCTGTATCAGGCTTGGAAATGCTACTTTTCGAAATTATGAAACTATGAAATATTATAATAATAATTTTTATATGTAAGATGCAAGAAGAGGAGTTTTGGTTTTTGCATGACACAAAAACCTATCAGTTTTACTTACACTGAAAAAAAGTCTTTCAGAGGAACACAATAATGAAATTTAATATCCAATCGTGACCCTCTGAAAGCCAAATGACAGGTTTGATGTGTCGTACACAAAGTTCACCTCCTCTTCTTACATTATTATAATATCTCAGTTTCATAATTTCAAAAAGTAGCGTTTTAGCTGTAATAAGCATTTCCAAGTCTCTGTACGTTACCAATGTATTAATGTGTCCGTTTTGTTTGTCTCTGTTCACAGGACGTCGCTGAAAAGTGCAAGTCGCTGGGAATCACCGCTCTGCACATTAAGCTGCGTGCCACCGGTGGAAACCGTACCAAGACCCCAGGACCAGGTGCCCAGTCCGCTCTGCGTGCTCTGGCTCGTTCGTCGATGAAGATTGGTCGCATTGAAGATGTTACCCCAATCCCATCGGATTCGACCCGCCGGAAGGGAGGTCGCCGTGGTCGTCGTCTATAAGGCGTGCCGCTTTTCCTTTGCCAGATACAGTTTTGGATTTCGCATTTCCCCATCTGAAGACTCGGGGACAAAGAACGACAGCTGCTGCTGCGGGGGAAAAATTCCAAATGTGCGAAAAAGTGGAGAGCTCGTTCGTATTCGTTATATGATACAAACAAACACTAATGAATAAATTCGGATAAAATGAAAAACAAACAGTCTCGAGTTGATTTCAGTGTAAGCCGATTAAATGTATATTGAGTAAATGTGGGTGATACAATAAGCAGTTGATAAATAATGAACAATTAATTGTGTGCTAAGACGACCTTCTCGGATCTAGGGCGATGCTGCATCGTTTCCGGACAACTTTCCCAGCTTGATGTAAACTCTAGTAGTAAGTGCCTGCTTTTGAGGTCCTTTCGTTGGAGTGCTACTCTTTTCAACCACCGTGTTCACGTAGGTGTACTGCAGTGAAAATCCAATCACGATTTCCTCATCCGGATTACATCCTTCGCGAGGCTGAACAGCCAATTTCATTGCTATCTGATTTGCTTTCCGCCAGATAATGAATCTAAAGATAGGGGGAAAAGAATTACAGTTTGTCCTTATGGAAAAGTAGGTAGAGGTAGAAAACTCATGCGATTACTTTGGATCTTCCTGCTGAGATTGCACAACTTCATCGAATTCGGCCGAGTCGTCACGATGATTAATGATGAAGGATGAATCCGGCAGTCGGAAGGTGCCGTTTACTTTCCTCTCCACCATCCTCGGATCCTCCAGCAGGGTAGCTTGCTTCGCCAAACTAGAAGTCAACCCACTAATCATCAGCGACGATGAAGCACTGCTCTCAGCAGCCAACTTCAACTCCTCGATCATCAGCTTTTCCTCTTCTTCCATTGGAAGGTCCATGATCGTTATTGTCATATCATTGATGGTAGGATTTATAATCTTCAAAGTCAGAATCGAATCTTGTCCTTGGACCAGTGGCTCACACTGGACGAACCGAACTTCCGGAACGTGATACGCCGCAAACATTGCGATACGATATTTGATTGAGCTGGGATTGTACTCCGACTTGATGACGTTGTGATCGCACTGACGGCACCGTAACGATCTTTTAATCGAAAGCAACTTATGCTGAGGAAACAGTTTGTTCACCGTAAATGGCTGCTTGGCCGAATGCGACAACCGTTGCTGTAGCGTAGTAATGTTATTTAAGGTTAATTCTTTCGTAAAGATATCCGCTGGAAGCTCGTCCACCGTCTCACTCGCAACTGATTTGTTAATTGGCAAGGGCGTGGACTTGACTTGCGCCTTGCTATCGGGCCATCCCATTTGCCGCCTGATCATAGCAACAGTCAACCCGGTCCGATCCGTCAGGCTGGGGAATTTACTTTGCTTAGGAGTCTTGCGACGCCAGAGTTCCTGTTTTTCCTGCTTCTCGTGAAGAACCACCGATTGGTAATGCTCCAGGAGCAGTGAAAATCGCGTAGAATTGGCATACTCCGATTCGGGCCATTGCCCCGTGGCAACGGTCTGATCCGGAATCCCGACATCTCTGGAACTCCAGCGACAGTTAAGACAGGAAAGATAGTACATCTTCCTGGCAATCTGCTTCCCAGTGGATGGTTCTGGGGTACTTTCCTTTTTCTGTACACCATCAGCGGAGCCTTCTTCGGCTTTTACCGCCTCGCCGGATCCTGCCGACGGTGCAGGAACAATCGAAGTTGACGCACGCACCGAAAGCGTATGCTGGCAGCTAGGACAATTGAAGCAGGTGTTGCATCTATTCTTCCGAATTTTCGCTTCGGACGACGGAATGTTTTCCAGACAGTTGGAGCAGAAGTGCGAATCCACCTACAAAAGTGATGACATCATTCGAGAAAAAGAAACTAACGGAGTTTACCTCATGACAAACGCAGAATCCGCACCGAAGCTTCATGCAGTAGCGACAGAAATACAATTTTGTAAGCGGATTCAAAAGGCCACACACGCAGGCATATTCTACGACGTTGGGAAGCATGAAAAATGCCATTTTCAGCTCAATTTTCGTTCGATTTCTTGATGAAAATTTCAGGAGAAGCTTCTTCGCGGATAGTTTTTTTTTTGTTTGTTTTGGTTTTCGATTTTCCCTTTTGACAATCGAATGACAGAAAGTGAAGGTCATATGCTTTACTGGGTCGTTTAACTTGATACCACATTCACGGAGCATTGCATAGGAATGTTCTTAATGCAATAGGGTTCTAAAACCCACCATTTTGAAGAAAAAAAAACTTGATGATGCAGATTTCTATATTTTGGTATCATTTTTATTGAATTTTTTTTTTTTTAAATTGCGTTTATTTTTCCAGGCTCATTTGCTGTAGCTTTGCGGAGCCGATATTCATTGTTTTTTTTATAATGCGTTTATTTTCCAGGCTCATTTGCTATAGCTTTGCGGAGCCAATATTCATTGATTAGATTACAAAATTACTGAAAACTAACATTAGTAAAGCGGGGGCCGAAAACTCGCGGCTATCTCGAGGTTAGGGGTGACAAATTGTAACAAATGGATGGCAGGGTAGGGATTGTGAACACAAGGTTTGGAGAGCAATGTGCTCTTGATCTCGAACTAGGCGACACTCTGATGAAAAAGACAAACATGGGGGTACACCGATGGGCAGCTAACAACTTGAGAGAACACAAGATGACACTAACTACTAAATCCTCAGATCTATCCGTTTTAAAAACACATAAATTAAATTCAAATAGTCGAGATGTCGGCTCGCCAAGACATCTCTAACGGGTATCGCGGGTTGTTTTCCTCGGGCCCTGAGGGATGTGGATAAATCAGATCTGGCAACACGGTGTAGGGTACACGACCAAACAACATGCTCGATATCGTGATAACCACTGCCACACGCACATAAATTGCTGCCTGAGAGCCCAATTCGATAGAAGTGCGAGTCTAACGAGCAGTGATTGGACATAAGCCTTGATATAACGCGTATAAAGTCGCGGCTCATTTCCAACCCTTTGAACCATGGTTTGTTCGACACCTGTGGGAGAATAGAATGTAACCATCTTCCCAATTCACCATCATTCCATTTGTGTTGCCAACTGATTAGGACTTGCTGACGAGCAATGGAGAAAAATTCGTTGAAGGCGATTTGTCGCTCAAAAATATCGCCTTCCATAGCGCCCACCTTAGCCAACGAGTCCGCTTTCTCATTACCCGGAATTGAGCAATGAGATGGGACCCAAGCTAAGGTGATAGTATAGGAGCAGTTAGATAAAGCACTCAGTTTAGATCGTATTTCAGGCAGGAAATACGAGGAGTGCTTCATCGGCCTCATTGAACGAATAGCCTCCAATGAGCTAAGACTATCCGTAAAAATGAAATAATGGTCAGAAGGTAGTGAGGCAATTCGCTCTACTGCGTAAAACATAGCTGCAAGTTCCACAACGTATACGGAGCATGGTTTCTGCAGTTTATATGAGGCGCTATGAAATTGATTAAATACACCAAATCCAGTGGAAGCATTTATGGTTGACCCATCTGTGAAAAATTTTTTATCGTTACTTACATTGTGGTACTTGATTGCAAAAATTGAGGGAACAACCATCGACCGATGGTGATCTGGTATTCCATGGATTTCTTGCATCATGGTCAGATCAAAATTTACAGAGAAACTATAGAAGGCTTGAAATGGCCTCGTCTTATTTTGCATAGCAAATGCAATGTAAAATTAGACGAACTATACGCTGTATTCGGGGTACTCGTATACAACGTATATTCGTTATAGGTCAGGTAACACAGTAGTGGTGTTAGTTAGCGTGTGGGAGCTACCAGTTACGCCAAATCAACGATCAAATGCATTGTTTACTAAAGCTGATACGTCCCTTTGAAAAAGTAAACGAGAATTTTCCATTTTTACTCCGCAACATTTTCCTGAAATTCCCACATTTTTTTTAGAAATTCGCTGTTTTCCTGAAGATTGAAGAAGTTTTCTGAAATTCACAGAATTTTTGTGAACTTTACAGAGTTTTTCTGATGTTCTCAAAATTTTCGGAAAAATTCTTCAAAATTTTTCATATTTTTTTGAGTTTGTATAGTTTTCAAGAGATTCGCAGAATTTTCCTGAAGTTTACAAACCTTTGATCCACAGAATTTTCCTGTAGTTCACAGAGTTTTCCTGACTTATAACGAATATACGTTGTATACGAGTACCCCGAATACAACGTTTGACTCGTCTAATTTTGCATAGCATTTGTGATGTAAAATTAGACGAACTATGCGTTGTATTCGGGGTACTCGTATACAACGTGTATTCGTTATAAGTCAGAACACAGTAGTTGAGGTTTTGTAGATTTTTTTTTATGTTAACAAAACTTTCCTGAAATTATCATAACCATACTGGAGATCACACAGTTTTCCTCAACTTCACATAATTTTCCTGAAGTTTACACAATTTTCTTGAAATTCACATAGTTTCCCTAAGATCTCAAAATTTTCCTTAATTTCTCAGAATTTTCTTGAAGCTTGCAAACCTTTCCTGAAATTCGTAGAATTATCCTGAAGTTTACAAAACATTCCTAAAATTGTCATAATTTTCCTGAAGTTCGCATTATGTTCCATATCTTTGCATATTTTTCCAGGAGTTCGCACAGTTTTCCTGAAGTTCACAGAGTTTTTCTGATGTTCGCAAAACTTTTCTGAACTTCTCAAAAAATGTCTAATATGGAGCCACCTTTGGATACGAAGTTCCATTTCCGTTCTGTAATAGAGCGTGCAGTGGAACAAATTTAAATAAGTGCTATTATAATCAGCTAAGTGAAAAGTTGACGTTTCGAGAAAGTGCGTTTCTGTCCAATTTTTACTTCACCGGAGGTGTAAACTGATCGATTTAACTCCACGTGTGCTTTGAACTGCGAAAAGAGGAAATTGCCCGAAAAAAAAATTACAGTGAAATTTTCAGTGGAAACAATGCTCTAACATTAATATTTATTGTCGACAATAAAAATGATTGTTATAATGTTGTACTCTTCCGAAAACGGCAAAACTGCTACCTAGCTGTACAATGAATGTACATAATAAAATGTTGTTACAATGATTTTTATCGTATTTTTCATTTATTTTATTGTTAACATGATTCGATCATGAACAATAATGAACAACTCTATTACAATAAAAATTGTTGTTACATTAAATATTGGTGTATTTTCATTGTGGGTTACTTCACGAACAATAAAAATAAATCTGATTGAAGCATGCAGAGTATGAGAGGGTCAGCAACACTGCCAATGTAATTAAGATAGGCGCTGCTCGTATGGCTCTGGCTTTGACAGTTCGTTTGGCTCAAAACCAGGCAGTCCGCGTCCGCTCATATCTTATCCTAGACCCTATCTAAAGCTTAATCAAACAATAATAATAAAAAATTCCCCCGCTTGAAGATGTCAGGAAGGAACTCTCAGGTGGAAGCATATTTCATGGGCGATTCTCTCCAGTCGAATGCATTATCAACGACGCTCAACCACCAAGGAGACGTGACCTAGGGATATCGAGCGCAGGGGAGTTGGCCTGCAATTCTCACAAGTTCCGGATCGAATCTCGATCCATAACCAGTAAAAAAAAGGACCACCCGTAACAGACATACCACCCCCTTCCCTTCCCGGGGCAATGTTTTATTTTCTCGATTTATTTTTAAAGTCGATAAAGTAGATCTGTCAAGCCAACACATACACTCTAAAGTACACTGTTATTTTTTTTATCAATAAATTCGCCAACCAACAGTAAAATAACAATAATATATAATGTTATTGAAAAAAAATTATATGGAAAAATCACGAAAATTTCATTGTTAAGATACTTAACAACCCCCCTTTTTTATTGTAAATTTTCCATTTACCATGAAATTTATTGTTTTGTACAACATAAATCAAGGTAAATTTATTGTAGACTAACAATATAAATCATTGTTAAGACAATAATTTTCGTCTTATTGTTACATTGTTTTTTAAAGTATTTTTGTTGTTATTTTTTTTCGGGTGACCACTTTGTCAAGCAGTTTTTGCGTGACTTTCTACCAGCGATTTCACAAAACTGGACCAACTAATTTCTATTTTTTTGTGAAACGCACAAATGTTGGCTACTTTTCTCGAGGTTCTAGAAGAAAAAATCTTAAAATAATGTTTCATTTCAAAGTTCGAGTGGTAGTAAACGTCATTTTATCTGCTCGAATGAAGTGGTTAATTGGAATTTGCTTGACAACAATTTTTTCACAATATTTTTCACTTGCTTAAAATTTTACTTCGCTTTGAATTTTAGCTGCTGTTCTTTTCATGAACAGCTGGATGCGTAAAAAAGTAAACGCAAGCGAAAAAGATGCGATCTATAAAATTCGGTTTCGCTGGATCGTACATATCTGTGAAACAAGAAATGAAATATTTGCGAATTGCGTTTTTCACGCAGGTTCAGGCATAACATTTGATAACGGCACAAAAGCATTTGTAAACAAACTTTCTAAGGCCCTTCACACGTGAACCAAAGTACGCCCACGCAAACCAACAACATCATCGGATAGTTAGTGGCGCCGGTGGTGTAGTGGTAAGCGAGATAAATTGACAAATTGACTTCGGTTAGGCATCTTGATGTGATTTGTGACAACTGTCAAACTTTCCGTTTCCGTTCCGCTTCCGCCCACATTGCGTTTGGGCCTTTAGAAAGTTTGTTTACAAGTGCTTTTGTGCCGTTATCAAATGTTATGCCTGAAATGTTGTCACTTCGCTCCGATCTCTATACAGGCTTAATGAATCCAATTACACCCATAAACAATATCATTTTTTTTTATCCGGGATTAGCCTGTATAAAAATGTGTGCAATTTTGTATGACTGCTCTGATAAAACTAATCATAAAAGAGAGCTTAACGACATGTTCGGGGTATCATCCAAACCATTTGAGGGATAGTTTACCCATCCGGGATACAGTTCGTTTATGGTATTTGTTTATTAGGGTGAACGATTCCCGGTCATTTTTAAAAATATGAACAAGTCTATGTGCACGTCCGTAAATAAATTGACCCAGTAATTATGTTGGGCCGATGCGGCATCCACATTGACGGAGGGGCGAGACGGTTCTGACTGACGCATCAAAAGTGCTTCTCGCTCATCCATCGCGAAGCATCACACAAAAAAAATATTGCCCTTATCGAGAGGCGAACCAGAGCAAGCTCTTTACGTGCACTTTCTTCCGCAAAAATTTCGTCGCAAAAGCAAACAAAATTACTCGCGAATACAAACAACGGGTTCAGCGAACCACGTAGTGGTGATACATTTCGAAATCGGTTCCTCATTTCTTCCCGGTAGGCCTGTATCTAGAAAGCCGTCAAGATAAAGCCCCAAGCAGAGCAGCAGCAGCAGCAGGCGGAAGAAAGGACGGAAAGAGAAAGTGTGTCGTCGTCCCCGGACACTTCATCGTCGTCTACTTCCGCCGTAGCGCTGCATCAGCTAGCTGCCGAATCTTCACATCAACAGCTTGAGTTGCATCTCGAACAGGGCTGTTCCTCGCATCAATCCACGGAACAGGGACCGATCGCTAGTAGCAGTAGCAGCAGTGAGCTATTGCTGGTGGTGTCACAACAAAACGAAGACGCAGTTTCTGCTGCTCGAGTAGAAACACCTCAGGACGGGATTACTGATACTGCAGACGACAGCTCATTGCTGAAAGTCTGCGAACAGCACCAATCACAGCAGCTGCAACCAGAGGAACCGACTCCTGGTAGCAGTGCTAGCAGCCGACAGGGTAGTCCTCCGAAGGAAACGATGCCAGTCCGGGTTGATATCGTGCCACCTCCGCCGAACAACTCGAAACAACTGGGCGTTACCAAATCGCTCCTCTACAATGGGTCCAAGTTCCGGGGATTCCAAAAGTCCAAAGGAAACTCGTACGAGGTGGAAGTCGTATTACAGGTGGGCGTTTCCGCTCTTCAGGCTGAAGTATATGTAACATGAATCCCAAATTTTTCTTCAGCATGTGGACGAGGCCAACTCGTACCTTTGTGGATACCTCAAGATAACTGGACTGACCTTTGAGTTCCCCACGCTCACAACCTTCTTTGATGGCGAGATTATTTCTAGGAAGTATCCATTTCTCACCCGCAAATGGGACGCCGATGAGGACGTCGATCGAAAGCACTTTGTAAGATTTTTCGAAAATAATGAAGATATCAGTTCGATTGATAATGAGACAACCTTACTTTGTCTTGTAGGGGAAATTTGCCGCTTTTATGGACTATCAGAAGAATTTCAACTCGGACGACTTCGATTACGATGCACTGGAGAAAAGCGATTACGTTTTCATGAGATGGAAAGAACACTTCCTGGTATGTGATGCTTGGATAACCATCAGAAGTACTCAGGTTTTGCAATTCGCTAATTCTGGTCGTTGGTCGTTTCTAGGTACCTGACCATAAAATAAAGGACATCAACGGAGCTTCGTTTGCTGGCTTCTATTACATTTGCTTCCAAAAGTCGCGGGCGGTCATGGAAGGTTATTATTACCACAGATCCTCGGAATGGTAAGTACGGATTTAATGTGGCCTCTCGTGGGTGCTCTTTTTTGTTCTATTTGGGATTCAACGAACTCTCATCACCAAGATAAAATCCAGCGGTTCCCGTGCACATCTTGATCGTAAGAACTCAGGCCTATCGTGTGCGATGAGTGAAGTGTCGGTCACTAGTGAGGTGGCAATAATTGTCACCTCGTGTGACGTTACTCTTCATTCCTTCATTTGATTTGACAATACTTGACGCCTGGTTGGGAACGTGGAGCGTTTCCTACCTGTCGCTTAGAACGAGATTGTAGGATCGTCTTCACCACAATTTGAACATTTAAATTTCTTAGGATCTTTCTTCACAGGACAGTCGTCCTTTGCGTGAGAGGAATCACCACAATTCATGAATTTAGCTGGCATGTAGCTATTTTTTGTTCCGTGACCCCATCCCTGGCACTTACGGAACTGGGTGAGGTTTTGGAAATTTCCTCCAGTCTTCCTGAAGTGTTCCCACTTCACTCGGACATGGAGCATAGGGCTAGCTTTTTCTAAGACGACCTTAAGGTTGTTTAGTTCACTAGATTTGAAGTGAACTACATAAAAATCATTAGAAATCCCGTTGGGCGAACCGCCAGGACGGGATTTCATTTTCATTTTGATTGCTTGGACTGGCACAACTCCAAGTAATTTTGCCAGTTCATTTTTGATCTGATCCAAGGATTCACCACTGGGCAGTCCTTTCATGACAACCTTGAACACACGTTCAGTTTTGGTGTCGTAAGTAAAAAAATTGTGCTGCTTCTCAGTAAGATACTTGAGAAGACGTTTGAATCCGTCCAACGTTTCAGCCAATACAGGGCATTCACCTCGACGGCCAATTTTCAGTGAAAACTTGAATTTCACGAAGTTCAAAAGTTCCGTGCGAAGAGCATGGAAATCGGAAGTGGTTATCACAATAGGGGGAATCTTTTCCTGGACGATGGATCAAATTGATTGCTCAAATTAAGGGGGATCAAGATATTGCCCTTTTGCGCTTAGCGGCAGTAAAACCACTTTTATCCAAATCGACTTCCAAGCAGATTACTATAAGAATCTGAAGGATTGAAGAGGAATTTTCCAAATCGATATCCAAGCAGGATTACCGCGGGTAGGGTCCAAACAAGGACAGTTATATTGAGCACTGAAAAGTGTTTTTTAAATTTGTTGTAGCTTTAGGTAGTGTGCTATCTATATCAGTAAGTTAGTAGTAAGCTACGACTTTAGATACGTAAGCTCGGGTAGAATTTATTACACTACATCTGGAAGAGTAAGTCGTGTTTATTTACTACATACTCTGTAAATCCGATTCCGTGAAGTGAATTTAGAAGTTGGTTCCTGTTCCGGAGTACCACATCTGACGACGAGTAGGTGGAACCTACCATCCGTATTCGTTAGGTATGATTAAAAACTATCAAATAAGTACAACGGTGCATTCAATTCAACATCAATTTTGTTAAATATATAGAACTCAGATTTACTAGCCAATATTTCAAAGGCAAGAAGCTGCTGCTGTTACGCAGAAAAAGACAAAAGCCGCTGGTGTTACGCAGAAATAGGCAAAAGCCGCTGCTGTTACGCAGAAACAGATCGTAGAGCAGGGATAGGCGTAGAGCCGCTTCGAAGAAATCAGGGCGAGTAGTCGCTGCATGGAAGCAGGAAAAGCATAAGCTACCACTATAATTTGTAGAAACCAGATCGGAAGAAAAAGGTAAAAACACCTTCAAGGTTGTTGTGGTGTTACCACGGTAACGAAGTCCACACGTGTGCAATAAACATTTTTTTCTAGGTTGGAACATTTCAAATTTAATCATCTTCCAGAAACGCAGGTTCGTAAAGAATGGTTGCGATGGAAGATAAATTTTGAAGTGGTTGTTGCTGCCAGTGAGGAGAAAAATGCTACTAAATTGAAAAACATTCTCCTTGCTAAAGGGGGCCTCGAGCTCCAGCACTTATTTTACTCGATAGAGGGAGCAGATGTTCAAGAAGATGAAAAAAATGGAATTAATCCGTTCAAAACAGCAATAGAAAAATTGGACGGTCATTTTTCACCAAAACAACACGATTCGTTCGAAAGGAATGAGTTTTGCAAGCTGACACCGGGAAGTACATCTGAAGGATTGTGTGAGCCGGTAACGAAATTTTTTATGCGATATACTGAGCAAGCGAAGAAGTGTGATTTCGGTAAGACTGCAGCGGAAAGCGGAGATTTTCGTATCATTGACAAAATAATTTACTACGCTCCTATGGAGTTGTGGGAAAAACTTCTGCATGATGAGACACTCACGCTACCACAACTCACAAGTGACCCGGATGGTTCATTCATTAGAGCCTATCAAGCATCAGGTTCAGGTCATCGCTGGGAATGAAAACAGTTCGTCAACTACTTCTTTTGGAGCGAGCTCGAGAGATAACGTGAACCGTGTGATTGAAAGTGATAAGCTAGCAAACGGTTCTTGCTATCGATGTCGACAGAAGACTCATTACGGGAATGATCGACAGTGTCCAGCGCGTAACAAACAATGTGAGAAGTGTAGCAAGTTTGGTCACTTTGCCCGCGTGTGCCGTTCTGCAACGAAACGTAAATATCGCGAACCTCATTCCTACTCTACGGGCAAGCAGGTGAAACTGGACAACGTACGAGCGATTATGTCAACGGAAGAGAAAGGCCATGCTGAGTTACAAAGTTTCATTTGTAACATCGGGGACGGCGATGAATTTCTTTGGGTCGAAGTTGGAAATGTACTTATCCAAATGTTAATAGATTCTGGCAGCAGTAAAAATATTATCAATGACACCACTTGGAGAAGCATGCTAGCGCAAGGAGTCAAAAGCTGGCAACCAAGGAACGTTCCGAATACAGTTTTGCGAGGTTATGGTCGAGATGCAAAGCCGTTGGTCGTGTCTCATGTTTTTGAATCTGTAATCGCTGTTGGAAATGGAGGAAATCGGAAGCAAGAAACAGCTATATTCTACGTTGTCGACGGAGGTTCTCAATCGTTGTTGGGAAAAGATACAGCAAAGCTTTTGGAGGGGCTAAAGATTGGACTTCCTACACTGGATTCAGCAGTCAACAGTATCGTGCCCGTAGGAGGAAGGCCTTTTCCGAAAATGAAGAACGTGCAGCTGAGAATCCCAGGGAACAATGACATGTATCCTGTTGTTCAACGGGTCAGACGTCCTCCAATTGCGCTCCTTAGTCGGATCGAAGAAAAGTTGGATCAACTTCTGGTTGCTGACATCATCGAACCTGTGTCAGGAACAACACCATGGGTTTCACCGTTGGTGATCATTATCAAAGACTGTGTGTAGATATGCGACGTGCTAATCAAGCCATCATGAGAGAACATCACATGATGCCTACCTTCGAGAGTTTTCTGCCACGTTTCAAGTCATCCAATTTTTCCAGCCGTCTGGATATTAAAGACGCATTTCAACAGGTAAATCAGCAATACTGAAATAAATTAATGTAAATTGTTAATATATAAATTTACTAAACAAAATAACTTACAAAACTACTATACAGATTGAACTGGATGCAGCATCTCGAACTATTACAACCTTTATTTGTCATAAAGGATTGTATAGATACAAAAGGCTGATGTTTGGCATTTCATGTGCCCCAGAAATGTTTCAAAAAACCATGGAACAAATTCTTGCTGGTTGTGACAACGTCATTAATTATATTGACGATATTGTAGTATCTGGGGAAACTGAAGAAGAGCATGATGCGGCTTTAAACAAAGTTCTTTCAGTTTTGAAAGATCGTAATATTCTGCTGAACAAAGATAAATGCATGTTTAAAGTACGGCAAATAGAGTTTTTGGGTAATATTATTTCCTCTAACGGAATACGCCCAACGGAGGAAAAGGTGCAAGCCCTGCAGAAATTTCGTGAACCTCGTTCTTCTGACGAAATAAGAAGTTTTTAGGTCTCGTCACATATGTTGGAAAGTTTATCCCTGATTTAGCAACCATTACTGCACCATTACGGGAACTGATATGCAGTGCCAATAGGTTCACCTGGACGAAGGAACACCAACGGAGTTTTGAAAAGATAAAACAAATGCTATCCAACGCTGATACTCTCGCTTTCTTTGATAATGCTTTGCGTACTAGGGTGGTAGCAGACACCTCACCTGTTGCATTAGGTGCTGTCTTGGTTCAATTGAAGAGGTTACAAATCAGCCACGGGCTCGGCAGAGACTGGAAGAGTGATTTAAAAGATTACTTGATTATGTACTATACGACTCCGCAATCTACAACTGGAAAGACGCCAACGGAGTTATTCTATGGAAGGACAATAATCCAAACTACCAACTATTGACGATATTGAAACCGTACCTCCAACCTCTGATTATGGTGATCTAGATTTTCTAACCAAACAAAAAGGGAAAGAAAGAGAGGACATCAGACGGCATGCGAAGGAGTCGAACATTGCGTGAGATTTTCCATGAGTACTGTATCACCTGATACAGTACTCATGGAAAATCTCACTCCAGGGAATAAGCTATCGACGACTTTCAAGAGAACAAAATACACTGTTACAAATCGGTCGGGACCCAGAGCTACAATAGAAGATCAAGATTCCGGAAGAACCTACGAAAGGAACGTGGCTCATCTGAAGAAGGTACGAAATGACGTGACATCATCACTGCAGGAAACATTGAACAACTCCGATGAATCTGGTTCTTTAGTAACCAGAAACTATGAAGCTTTAGAAGAAGATTTTGCAGGATTTACAGCTGAGGAGTGTGAAGTTCCCATGCCTGGTATTAAGATTTGAGTCATTACAAAATGGACTCAACGTCTATGAGAAGTGAAGAGATTTTGTTAGTTTAATTGATTGTAATACATCCTAGAAAAAGTTAGTAGTAGGCTACGACTTTAGATACGTAAGCTCGGGTAGAATAAATTATACATCTGGAAGAGTAAGTCGTGTTTATTTACTACATACTCTGTAAATCCGATTCCGTGAAGTGAATTTAGAAGTTGGTTCCTGTTCCGGAGTACCACAGGTAGCAGTAACACTTCCTTCAGCAAAAAGCAAATAGTTCCGCACGGCATGAGAGCACGATGCGGACTGAGCTAGCATTGTTAATTTGGTGGGGTGAGCTTTTATTTGCGAGATCGACGGCTCAAGCCAGTGTGTATAAAAGCAATTACGCCCCTTTGAAATGTTGACACTGAACTTTCCAGCGTTAAAAATTTCAAAGCCAAAAGACGGTCTTGGGACGTAAAGGGTTAATGCTTAAGCGCAGGTAAACAAATCGGTCGTGAGCAATTGACGACCGGCTGCGACAAGAAGGGCTTGGATCGTTAAACCAATTCCGTTGAATTCCCGACACCCAGCTTTTTGCTTCACTGTATTGACCAATTTCATTTATTCAAGGTACCAATCACTCACGCTGGAGCACGTTCCCGAATCCTGCATTCAGATTTACGAGTTCAGATAAGCATATTTCGGATGGTCTAGATTCGAAACCTACAAATTACGAACGATCTGGTTGGTAGATTCGACGATTCTACAATTAGGGCTTTTCTTTGACTATCGGATGTTATCCAATTAAGACAATGGAGACAAAAGAGAAAAATTAACAAAAACGTTGCAGCTAAGTTCCCATTAACAACATTCTGTGCCAGTAGCGTACACATACAACTATAGAAAATCGGCATACATCAAAGAGAGGAAAAAGTAAGTAGAGCTTTTGCAATGATACTGTTTTGCAATCTAATTTAACGAAACCAGAAGTCACACAAATCTTCAGTGAGTTCTCTGTAGAAGTAAACCGCGCAGAACACTGTTGCTACCGACTGCTTATATAGAACACATAATTTGAAATACTTGACCGGTGTCAAAGGCGAATATCATTAAGAATAATTAGAGCAAGTTTTAAACTACCGATTATGCAGTTTACTTTCCCTTGCTCGACATCCAAGAGGGAATTTAGTGTTCCTTCGTCTTGGCTTATGGCGTTCCAACTGGATACTGGGTACTAGAGAGGGTCTAGTATAAGAGAGAAGCGGATTCAAAACAAACGGCCTTGGCAACCTATGCCTAGGTGATTACTAGCAACACTGCCAATGCAATCAAGATAGGTGCTGCACGATTGGCTCTGGCTTTGACAGTTCGTTTGGCTCAAAACCAGCCAGTCCGCTTCTCTCTTATACTAGACCCTCTCTACTGGGTACTATATCCAACCCGCCCTTAGCATGGCCTGCCTACACTTTAAAACACAAGCAAGCTTAAATGAGTTGGAGACAATATCCAGCATGGGAGAGTTGACTGCATTGAAATTTTTGATAGTTGAATAAAGGAAATCACAAATATTTTCAATTTTTGCTGCTTATTAATGTACGAAGAACAAATGTAACGTTTATAAATAGTAACGAAGTGTTGCAAAAAAAAAAGAAAATAAAACAAAACAAAAAACATAGAGTTGTATATTTTAAGAAGCAGCACGAGAACGTTCTTCGATCCACAAATAATCAAGTTAATCAATTTCAATCTACATACAAAATAGGATACAAAACTCTACCTGAATGCCATTATATTACCTTTATGGATAATTTAATTAGAAATTTTGTAACTGTATAAAAAAAACCTTAAATGTGGATTGAACGCTACCCGTTAATCAATAACCTTCAGTGGTGAGCTCGAACACCAAGTCAGTCTTAAAAATGAACAAAGATATGTCGCACCGCGGAAAGGAAAGCAAACGAAAGAGACTGTCACAAGACGATGAAACCAGCGAATGAATAGGAATAGCATTTCCCTGCGCAGTAACCTATTGTTTTAGAAATTAATAACTTGTTTTTTGTTGTTGAACGCATCACACATTGTAGAATCACAATAGCTAAATCACAAAAAAAAACCCAAGGAAAAAAACTACCACATTTTGATTTGTTTCGTTCGGATGTTCAGAGACATTCGAGTGCGCTTAAAGCTAATGCGAATTCATCACTCCATTGCGCGATATGTTGAATGTATCGGTCGAATGCCATAAAAACGTGTATGTTCGAAAACAGAAAATTGAAAGGCATTGTACATGATATTAATAGACGTAATAACAGAGTACTACTCCCTATTCATCAACAGTTTGGGTCAAGAGGTACGTATATATTTTCAATAAAATTAACCGCACCCATTTTGCGGAAAACACTACAATGTGATTGTAAGAAATTTTGTTTTATATAGATGACAACCACCTTCTCCCTGCGCTTTGGTCAGAGAGCGTATAGGGCGTCGTTGTGCCAATTTGGTCGTGAGAGAGTGATTGCAGTTGGCTCAAAAGTGCCTGAGTAAAATGCAAGTATTTTCGATGATTACCCGTAGTTGTTACAGAGAAGATATACACCCATATTCTCGTTTATGTATGGACGTGTTTGCCATACAGAAACATTTTTATTTGATTTTGTGTGGTGAATGGGTTTCGGTCGTGGACGGGCATATGTTTACGTTAGGATAACGTTGAAAAATTGAAAAATGTATCGCTTCAGTTTGAGAAGCACTTCACCTCGCAACCGATGAACCATTCTGACGGCCCACATTACCGTGCAGGCGCCGTGTGTTAGCAGGGTCCAATATTGGACAGTTTAATGTTTATAAAGTACCATCAGTTAAAATTGTAATTTTGAGCTATACATTCTTAGGTGTTTCTTAGTAGATTATCATGTTGGTGTACGCTGATTCAAAGAGTAAATGGTATTAACATTGAGCTGTCCATAGTTGGGCGTTGTTGAACTTGTGGTACTTGCACAACATTTCATGTGAGTACCAAAGCAACCATATAATCACAAAATAACTTTAAATGTAGGTTCAGAGTGAGACAATGTCACTGAGCTATGGTTAGTTGGGTATTCAGATGAAACTATTACTTTAAACAACTAATCCTTGCTGTATCTCTTTTTCGTTTGCATGTTACACTATTTGATATTACTAACCACACCGAACGGTCATTCCGGGTGGTGAGCGAACCTGAAGAAGAAGAAGTTGACTATACAGGATGAGTGGTACCATGACCCCCTTCTCGGAACGAGTGTATTGTTAATGGACCTGGTCTACGATTCAAAGTTGGATTCTGTGATTATAAGTATCACAAAAAGGTAAAATAGGTAGCATCATCTTAATCGAAATGTAAGTATTATTAACAATAGATGATATGCAAATTTATACGTTAGGAACCAGGATCTACGTTTTTTTAAACATGCGCATTCAATCGTGACGGGATCTAATTCTGCATTTTAAACCTACCCAACCCTCTTCCTTTCTACAATCCCTGAGCAGCTGGTTCACCATAAGTGTACCTCGCAGAACTTTTTTAACCCCCATGGGTAAAGATGCTGTGTTGGTCACTCCTCTCCCCTTCCCTGGTGTATTATGGATGGTGTGAATATTCACATCGGTGACATGGCCCCTAACCCCCTTGTACATCATAAAATGAAAATGAAATGAAAATATGGATGACAACCACCTTCTAGCTAAGAAATCGTACCCCTATTTTGGCAGTAGTACAACATTTCAAAGGGGTGTAATTGCACTTGTAAACAATGGCTTTAGCTATCGATTTTTCGCAAATAAAAGCTCACTCATGAAAATTAATTCCACCAGGTAACAGGTAGAGGAATGTTTCCTCTACCACCTAGCATTGTTAGTTTGGAGGAGTGAGCTTATATTTGCGAGAAATCGACGGCTAAAGCCATTGTTTACAAAAGCAATTACGCCCCTTTGAAATTTTAGCATTGATTTGACTATGCCCGCCCCTGAGATGACTTAGATTAGAGTCGGTGTATAATGAGTCACGCCAAGAGAAAAACAGTTGAACTCGCATCACGGTTTTCGAAACATTCCCATTCTTTTCACTTGGCAACAGAGGACTTCTACAACAACTTCAAATGACTTCTAGCGAGAGAAAAAATATTGCGGCTGTAGTAACTCATTATATCAGTGATTTTGTCAAATTATCTTAACAAAAAATAGTAGAAATTCTCATAACTAATCCTTACCGAGCGGATCCCATAACAATTTAACGCTCACTGCGTGTTTATGCTCATTTCTTCGATTATATTTTATATTTTATTGCAATACCTTTCGTGGACCTTTCATAGCATCGTAATGTTTATTTACTTTGCACGATAGGTAGCCGGTTTGACAGTTCAATAGGTAGACTTGGCTTCACTCTTGGCGTGACTCATTACACAGAAAAACAAAACTACCCACCGCTTGGGTTTTTTAAACTCAAATTTGAGTTATTTGACCTCTGTCCGTTTCATTTCCTCTCGCTATTGTTGTCAAAAATAGAACGAAAGATTCGACTCAACCGTCTAGTTCCGTACAAGAAGCCAAAATTGAGTAATATGCGATATACCCAAATTTGAGTTAATTGAACTTAATTTTGGGTAGAAAAAATTGAAAATAACTTAGCGATGGGTAATTTTTTTTGCCGTGCTTAAATGCAAACTACTTTGAGCCGGTTTACCCAAATTTGGCTTATCGTACGGAACATGGGAGATGAGTGAAAAGAACTTAATTTTGGGTTGTTTTGAATTTCTGTGTATACACCGACTCTAACTTAGATAAGTTTCACGTTTTTTTATACCTCTTTCGGGTAGAAACACACGGCGAATGAGAACGACCCAAATTTGAGTTTAGTCCACTCATAATCGCCAAAAGTGCAGGAACTCAGCGAGGAGTAAATTTGCCTCATGTTTTCCCAGGATTTTCCAGGAAAAAATTACCGAATTTGAGAGAAGTAAAGATTGGATTCACTCAGTCTATTGGTACTACTCCGCGACTGAATAAAATTTTCGTCAATTTCCTCATTTTCCGGCAGATTTTTTAGGTTTTCCACAGAAAACCATGAGACAAATTTTACTCATCGCTGAGTTCCTGCACTTTTGGCGATTATGAGTGATCTAAACTCAAATTTGAGTCGTTCTCATTCGCCGTGCACCCAAATCGGGAAAACTGAGCCTACTCAAATGTTGACAAATGGCCAATATCGATCTGAATCCAATCGATGTTGTTTATTTGTCAAGACGTGTTTCCCAACTTAGCTTACCCATGTTTAAAAGCAGGTTCAGTTTTGACCGATCTGGGTGGATTCTACTCAAATTCAATAGTTTTTAAATAGCGTGTATCACAACAAATCGAAACTGATCTACACGGTAAGAAAAAAGTACCCAACGGCCAGTTCACTTTTACCTACTTTTGACTAGTTTGTCTCATTTTCTCCTTCTAATGTTGTCAAAAAAGAAGGAGCAAAACCACCCAACAGGGGTAGTAAAGTGTGGGAACCCAACGTTGGGTATAATCATATTTACCTACTGTTGGGTACAACTTACATACTTTTGGTTAAAAAGCTAGTGGAAAATTCCATACGAACTGCACACAAGTAAATGAAAATAACTTTGACCCGCTTTACCTACTTTTGGGTTCCTGCACTATAGTGCCGAGATGAGTGAAAAGAACTTAATTTTGGGTACTTTTTTCTAACCGTGTAGAAGCTTCTGCGAACTCGAATCTCACGCATGTCATTACTAGAGAGGCTGTAGTATCAGAGAGAAGCGAATTCAAAACAAACTGCCTATTGGCGTTGACGGCACCGTCGAAAAATTTGCTCTTCCAGCAAATTTAGATAGTTTCTTATGGGAATTTTCGGTGGAGTGAAAGGATAGTACAAAGTCCGCCATGTTTCACGCACAGTCTGACGTTTGCTTATGGATTTTCTCATAGGAGTAAAGAGCTACAGAGTCGCCGTCAACGCCAATAGGCGCTGCTCGATAGGCGAATCCAATAGAAACTAATAGGGGAAATGGATGTAATGTCGGCCTATATGCTCCTAATTTGGGTCCATACATAAATTCAGCAATCGACTAGATTTTCAATAGCGACCAAAAAATATCCATTAGTACCGTCCCAATGACGCGTTCATCTAGATAAAATTGATAAATAGCAGATTTTTAGCGATGGACCCAACCTTAGATCCATAGGCCAACATTAGAGCCATTTACCCTACCAACAATCAATACGAAACTAATGATTTTAAATTGGCTCACTACTTGACTAGCCTATTGGTCCCAAGCAAATCGATTAACGATTAATCGATTAGTTTTATTGTTTCAGCCTCTGGCGGTGAATAGGGGAACCCTCAAAAGAGTGATGAGAGTGGAAATTTTCACCGTAAAGCATAGGAAGAGGAAAATATTTTAACCTTTTCTGATTCAAAGTGTTTTTATGTTACTTCATACGCAAAGTTTACGATTTTCAGAGTTGGTTGGAAATGCTATCTAACATGCAGCTTTAGTGTGATAATTTATTAGCTACCCTAATAAAAATGACCATTAAATAGAGCTTAACGACGTGTTCAGGGTATTGTGGAATTTGTGGGATAGTTTACCCATTCGGGATACAGTTCGTTAATGGTAATTGTTTATTAGGGTAGACAATGATCTTAGAAGAGAGTAGGTAGATAGTTTCGTTAGAGTACGGCAGTATGAAAATTGAATAGAAGTTAAAAATGAGCGAAGGGCCATTAATGCGACAGTACAAAGTTAAACGCACACCTTTTGCCTAACCCGTACGATAGTGGTGGTCGTGGTAGTGATGAAACGTCGCTAGAACTATTCCACAGCTGCAGAGAGTAATGAGCAAAGGCGGGCGCACACTTTTTGCCTGTAGATTTGAAGACATACTTCAAATCTCCGCGTACATCGTACGGGCTAGGCGTTTGACTTCGTACTGTCGCATTAATGGCCCTTCGCTCATTTTCAACTTCTACTCATATTGCCGTACTCTAACGGAACTATCTACCTACCCTCTTCTAAAAGACCATTCTCTAGCTAATAAATTATCACACTAAAGCTTCATGTTAGATAGCATTTCCAACCAACTCTTTTCTGATTAATTTATCCACCGCAGGTGCTTGAAATCATCATCCACGCGGAATATTTTTTTTATGTATCGGGTTTGCAGTGATCCGGGGTGCTTCCATATATTTTTAATGAGAAAAAATAAGATTTATAAAATTGTCCCAGCGGTTATGATCTTCCGGGTTTTTAATGTCTGCTTATTTCAGCTGTAAATCAGTTCAGATCTGTAGATTCAAAATCGGCTAGCGCACTCTACATTGATGGTGCATGAAAAAAAAATTGGCCTATTGGCTCTGGCTCAGGGCTGCGAGCTTAGCGAGAAATTCGTTTATGTTGCCGTGGTAAACCAAAGAGAAAGTCGATTGTTCTCAATAAATCCTTAAGTCATTTTAAGCTATCATTGATTACAGTGCAGGGGAACACGACCAGTAACACTAACAGACGATTTTCTTGGTAGTCAGCGAATCCAAACACAAAGCAACCAACGATACAGACAAAACGGTTGCTACGACTCCCATGACAAACTCGCTCTGTAGCATAGCTCGATCGGAGTGATAGAAGGATAATGATATATTGCTTGCCTGCTTTGTTGCAATATACACGGATCAGGACATAGCTTGATCTGCATCGAGAAAAGACATAACAAAAAAATTCCCATTGACACACGTGTATCATCTTCGGCTTTACTTCGTGAAGCAGCTTGCCAACAATTTGCGCTTCTTCTACCGCCCTGTGTCGCACGGGCTGCTTGTCATGACAAAAAGGAAGAAGATTATATCATTATTGCTTTCCACTTTTGACATAGGATTATCGTTGATCGCTTGTCATTTTGTCATTTGGAGATATTTTTGATTCCTTGTTGGTAGTAATTAATGCCTGAATTAATGCGTACCACATTAGAGCTCTCTCAATAGCTTGTCCAACAGCTGTTTAATTTAAAACCGAATGCAATCAATTCTGTTCTTACGGAATTTTGTTTTTTTATTTTTGATCGTGTAATTCAAATTCGTGTTACCTAATTTAACTAATAGAGCTGTACCAGGGGGTAAGTCACTCTGCCACATTTTGATGTGATTTCATATTATTTTATGGTAATTGTATGGTTATTTTTTCCGGGTTGGCACCACCGAGCAGGCTCGGCATTTATTTTTACTGAGATCTCAGCAAAATTTATGTTTTTTAGTTGAGATCTCGGCAAAATTCCCGTTTGTTAACTAAATCTCAGCCAAATAGATTGCTCGGTGGTGCCCATCTCGGCAAAAAATTTAAGTGTGTAGCGATTCTGATTGATGATTGATTCTCTTTGCTAACTAATACCGATGTCAATTATACAAGGTCTGGCCCAACCGGCTTATTGGTATTAGTGAAATGTGAAAATGTCAAGTGGTTGTCGTATTTCAACGCAATGTTTATCTTTTTACACGAAACAGCTGTTTTCTGTGACGACACGTCTGCTAATCGCAGTATAGAATGTTGTGCTACCGTGACATCGGCATTCGCTTGCTCAGCAATGTTTACAACATTTTTGCTTCTAACACTACAAGCACAACATCAGCAGCTCTTATTATGAGAAAAACTAAAATACATACATTGGTGACGGTCTTCGGCGACAGTGTCGTATGACAGAGCCTGTCATATGACATTTTAGTTTGATACTGTACTATGATAGCTTGTTTTGCAAGTGTCGGAGGCAAAGGCAGTCAATTATCACAGAAAATGTGTCGACTACCGTGACCGCTTACAAGCCTGATTTCAATCCACATACAACTCTAATAGGTAGTATATGATTTGGAAATAAATTTCACTTTATTTTCATATAGCATCTAAGTGAAAATTACTCAAAGTGAAAAGATCTTTTCCCAATCCACTAGAAAACAACATAGATTTTATGGTACTTTCTAAGTAAATTTTATTATGATATTAATTAAATTCAAGTACGTTTCTTCGTAGCATCATCCACTGTTAGGAATTTTAAAATTATTTTTCGAGATAATAAAAATTGTATTGTTCAGAAAGCTGATAATAAATTCCTATTAAAAATACCATAAACGAACAATAACCCAAATAATAGAACTACTCCACAAATGGTTTGAATGATACCCAAACACGTCGTTAAGCAAAATAACCATAACAATTTTATTAGGGATATCTTATGTGTTCCAGCAACTTCCAGCCAGCTGCACTTCCTCTGCTAATCTTCCGGGTGAGATCATTCCTCGCCCGTCCATTCCTCATTCTAAAAACATACCATAAATAAATGGTGTCATAACAAAAATAAAGCATCATACTTATCAGAAAATTCAACAAATCCAATGGTATTTTTGAATGCAGCAACAACTCGTGAGCAATGCACCGTTTGGACGCCATGTTAGGTTTTGTTTGTGCCATCACCACTCAGAAATTTTCACACTATAAATTCATGTAAAATCCGAGGGGGCGACACATCTAAATCTCAATTCTAGATGCTCAAAAAATCTCACACTAGCGAATCAATCTTCGAAAAATCATCTTTAATTTCTCGCATGTACTTGCATCGTGCTTCATCTTTTTGCAGGAAATCTCATCATCTTTTTGATTCGACATAAATCTTCCTTCTATCTACTCAGCTGCACGCACGCCACAGCAAAACACAATCTTTTCTGCATCGTAGATAGAGTCGTCCCCCTCGGTAAAATCTAAGTGTAATCATTTGAAACTTATGTATACATTCATCTAAGTTTCAAAGCGTATTACAATGCTTTCAATACGATTTGTTATAAGTTTTATTAACGTCATTTACTTTACAGAAATTTTTTTAATATATGAAGGCTACGTGTTTTTTCCAGTGAAATTTATGTGACAAATTTTTTGAGTGATTGACATCGAGCTAATACAACCTTTCACTGCATTGTATTGTGAATTTTTTTGGAAAATTTATTCCCTGAACTTTGGTAATGCGACCTGTAATGCGAGGATCATCGTAACTAGGCCCTTATGATTCTGAACGCTAGAATTGAGTATAATTAAATTATTATTATTAAGACTTGTATATACCCGGAAAGGATGTAGGTACGCTAGTATGAGAATTCGTTTCGACTTACGTACGAAAAACGTTTCATTTCAAATTCCATTGCTAGTTTGAAAACTAATCGTTTATCAACCAAGATCGATGATTAACCGAAAGAATATCGGACATCACTAGTCACAATCTGTCATCCAGTCTCGACGTCGACGTCGATGCGATGCGAATGCAAAATAATCAAAACATTGCTGGCTGTAGTCCTTTTACATTCGCAACGTGTTTCACGCGGCTTCCGAACCGTGCGGCGATTATATGCGATCGTACGCGTAATTATCTTAATCGATCGTTTCGCGACTAAAATGCCTTAATTTGGTACGGATTTGTGCTGTGAGCCCTGCGAGCGGATCCGACAAACAAAGCTCGATGGAGTCGAAATTAAGTGGTTATGAAGTGCGTCGAGTTGAGTGGTTGGAACGCTTGGACCGGGCAGGAGGGATATTGGAAGTCCTGCAGATTTGTCAGGTAGGAAAAAAACAAGCGGTTTTATCGCGTCATTACGTAACGAATGATTCTATTATAGGACATCTGCAACTGGGTCGATCGACGAACCGAGGATCCTGATCCGACCGACATAACACCAGGATCATCAGGATGGGGCACACGTCTGTATTTAAACAACGAGCTGCTGGTACGACTGAAGACCATCGTCGAAAGTCCAAAGAGTACCTTCGTACAAAGAAGGATAATAACCAAGTCGCTGTTCAAAATCTATGCCCACAACTTCCGGTACTCGCGAATGGTGTTTCCCGTAGGAGGAGTTTTACCGAATGGTACCGTGATGTCGGATGAAACTGTTGCCATCTACGGGATGATTTACGCTGGGTTTTTAACGGTTGCGGGTCCGGAAAATCTGATCGGGATCGCTGTGAGAAATTTTGAACTCTTCCAGACAATGGGATGCTATAATAGATGTTTCAATACCCTGGCAGAAAATATGCTGGCACTACAACGGATAGACTGCTACGATAAATTCTTCGTAGAACGGCAGGACAGAATATGGCATATTGTTTTATTGAACCTGGAATCTCCCTACAAAGGAACACGGGAGTATGTATTGGGAATACTGAAAAATCTATTGATCGAAGATAAATTCGTTCGATCAGTTGTCCTACCAGCAATCCTCAAATGGAGCTGGTTGAACCGAAACAAATTCCATGTGCTGATGGCACTTTTGGGAAAATATCGTCTTGAGACTTTGGAAGATATGGCTGGAGAGAAGATTGAGTTGTATCAAACATTGGAGCTATCACTACATTATAAGCATCTGTTTTCCGGGAGTCAGGGAATTGTAAGGGTGCAACAGAAACAGCACGACGATCGAATCTTTGAACTTCAAGTAAAAATATTACAAGAAGGAAACATTGAACTGGTTCGCACAATGATCAAGCAATGGTTTTCAAATCTCACGGTAGGAGATTATAGAAAACTCTTCAAAATGATGAAACTCGATCAGTTGAAGATTGGAGAAAACCGAAAATTCATGCCACTTTATTTGAAACAGAATAACTATGTCAAGTTTTTCCAATATATGAACCTATTCCGACGAGAGTTTCAAAGTTCCAAGGATTTGAACATTTTGCTGGTGCTGTTGTTGCAAGTTACTGCCGAAATCAACCTTGATTGCATGTCTATCGCACTTCTGGTCGAAACACTGGTGCACCACATCACTACTCCAAATCCAAACATCCATCCTTCCACCAGTGTATTCTACATTTTCAAACTGAAAGAGTACATCCTGAAGCAGCTCGGAGTGCCTTCGGTTCATGTCTGCAAAACGATCGTAACTCAATGCACAAAACTGCTGAACCACATTGCCTCGTTATCGCTGGAACGGTACGAAGCCAACGAGGATGCCTACGGGATCGTGTCGGAGTTGATGGGATCATCTGTATTCCATCAGCATCTGCAGAAGCAATCCACGAGCAACTACCACAGCATCATCACCAGCCTACGGATGTTTCAATCGTTTGCCTCGCTTTTCCTGGAATTTACTCCGAGGTCGCCCTATCGATTGCAAGAGAAGGAATCGACAACCGATAATCAAACGACCCATTTGCTACCGGTAGAGGCGGATACATTCTACGATATGATCTACGGCATAGAACACCTGTTGACTTCGGACTTTGACGATGTGAAAATGACGGCTCTGAAATTGTTGTACAATAAGAATTCGGCATACCACTATGGACCGGCACTGCAGGGAAAGCTGTCGTTGATCTATTCCTATAGGTGAGGGTTTGCGCTAAATTTATAATAGATTGAGGTTTATCTTATCTCCTATTTCCAGCACCCCATCGGCTATATTGGAAGCCATGAACAGCTTTTACGACGAGGCACACACGGCTTTGCTCACTTCGCTCCGCGATCACGAGCGTGATCTGTTCGCTATGATGAAAAATGACTACCAGCTGTACAATCAAGTCGACAGCATCAATGAAGCCTTTTTTGGTTACGAAGAATCTCGAACATTTGGCATCCTGGAGGACATCAAAGCCTTCCCGGGAATGCTTCTGCTGGTGAACCGTGTGGTGGAGTTTGTTTTGCGATCGTTCAATTGTGCTAAATCGAAGGAAGATCATAAAATGATCGGATCCACCTTCGAAATTATGGACAACAGCCTGCAGCTGCTTCTGGATCTGTCATCGCAACGTTCAACCAATCTTGCGGTGGATAAGAAGACCATGTTGAAAGCTCTCTGGAAGGCGTTGCACTCGGCTGCCTGCTTTATGGAAAACTACGTTCTCTGGATATTGGACAACTACAAAAATCGATTGGACACTCTGGAGCAGTTGTCAATCTGCTTGAGGGCATTTGTCATGATACTGATGAACTGTTGCCATCGAGGGGCTATTGAAGCGACTGGTGTCGCGTTTGGGAGGATAATCAAGAGAATCTGCACGCTGAAAGAGTGTCTGGTGGTGAGAAACGATCACCGCAACCGCCAAGCCAGAATGATCGTGGAACTTGCAGAGAGGGTATTCCGTACTATGATTCGATTACCCATGCAGGAGACCGACTTTCGCCGGTGTCGGGGCTATCTCTGGATGATTCATAATTTCATCAAGGGAGACTTACACAACAATGCCGAACGGTCTTATTTAAAGATTTACATCGAAGAAAGTCGTCTACCACTGCACCAAATAGGGATGAACCTAGAGACTATAGCAAAGATTTCTGTTATTCAACTGCATCAGTTGAATCTGATGGTACGGGAAGCTACTATGAATGAGACCATCTTAGAGTACATTGATGGGATAATGATCATCGCGCTGGAACGGTTCAAATCGACAGAATGGCCCATCCGTAATGCAGCTCTCCAACTGTACTCGTCGATTGTGACCAAACTGGTCGGGCAACGTCAGCAGTGCTCCGATCCGGATTGCGATTGGCTTCCTGTCTACGTATCATTGAATGAGCTGCTCTTCAAACTGGTCAAATCGAACAAATACATTCTGAAGGAGCTTCGTGTCACGGAGCGTGTTCCAACACCATTCCTGATATTGGTTCTGGAATTCCTTTCCAAGGTAGAATATCGAGCATACAACGTTCTCGGACAAAAGTCCATTATCGTGGAATATCGAACTCTGATGTGGCGCTACTTGAGACACGAAAACGATCAGGTTCGAACACTGGCAGCTACCTGTTTCACGCAGCTGCATGATTTCTACGAGGAGATTCCTCGATTGATGGAGAACCTGATAATTTGCTTCTTTACCGCCCGAGGGAATGAGAATTTCCGCTATGGCCTTCTGAAGGTGATACATTTCATGGTACGCAAGCGGGTCGCGAACGCACGGTTCGTATATGGAAGCGGGTTCGACCGGGACGAATATCTAGCACAGATGCGGCAGCTGTTTGCTAAGTACTGTATTTTGGACGATGGCATTACAGCTAGCTATCGTGTGCGGTGTCATTTGTTGGACCTGCTGCTGTATTTGGGCTTCCAGCGGATGGACCCCGTTGTAGTCGAGCAGGTATTCAACAGATTGGCGTCCAACAACTTCGGACTGAATGTCTATCTGATGCGAACGAATGCGCTGTATAACAGACGCTGCACGGGAGGGAAATCAAACTGCCAACCGATGGAGTACGAGGTTGTGATCGAAGGTGATGACAAAGAAGATGATGTGGAGGAGGACTAGAGATTACAAGGACGTTCTAAGAATGTCTTTTGTCCTAAATAAAAGTCTGTTTTAATTTGAAAGTCATTTTCTGCGTTGTTAGTTTTTGAGGATGCCTTTTAATAAATGTTTGAGTTATCACGCTCTTCACATCGTCTCCATCAGTAGCTACACCTACTTATGCTCATATATATTACTATACAACCTTGGACCGAATGGTTTTCTACTTTACGTTTTAAGCAGCAATTCGTTCAAATCTACACAAAACGGCCAATGGCTTCCAGTCGCATGCGAACTAAATTAAATATTCTCCTCAACTGCAAAAAGCCAAAACGGGGCAAGATAAGCAACCATCATTACATCAACAATTTAATATTTTTAGAAACTGCACATTCGTACCTTACAACAATGATCATAAAATGCAACATTTGGTTATCTCGAAGAATTTGCGATGACGGTTGGCACCTCTTTTGCCACGACCAGTCAATTGTTGCTTGTTAGGTTATAGGAAAGTGGACTAACCACCTTCCTACTGCTGCTATTGCTGACCACGCCGTCCGAAGCGAAAATGAGCTGATACCAGACAGCAGCGCTACTTTATATCTTTTTAGGTTAAAGCAGAATGATGTGCAACCAAGTGGTATAAAAGCTACAAAGACTCCTCCCATTATGAGTAGTTTGCTATCAAGTAGCGACACTGGCTATTTTCTTTTTGCGTACACGGCGAATGAGAACGACCCAAATTTGAGTATAGTTCACTCATAATCGCCAAAAGTGTAGGAACTCAGCGATGAGTAAATTTGTCTCATGGTTTCCTGTGGAAAACCTAAAAAATCTGACAGAAAATGAGGAAATTGACGAAAATTTTATTCAGTATTGGAGTAGTACCAATAGACTGAGTGAATCCAATTTTTACTTTTCTCAAATTCGGGAATTTTTCCCTGGAAAATCCTGGGAAAACATGAGGCAAATTTACTCATTGCTGAGTTCCTGCACTTTATTTCTTATTTCTGAGATAACTAAGCTCAAATTTGGGTCGTTCTCATTCGCCGTGATAGATATCGGCGCCGGTGGTTAGCGTGATTACCTCTCACCCCAGCAGGCCTGGGTCCAATCTCTGTCGGCGCCACCCAATGAGTTGGATTACAGAGGTGAAGCAATCGGTTAAGTTGTGTGAGTCACTACTTGCGTTTACGTTGATTTTTTGGTTTACTAATACAACAATATTTCACGATCTGCTTCACCTCTCTCTGTACCTCATTGGGCGCCACCGGCATGTTCTAAGGCATAACATCTCTGGGAGCTGCCTCCCTGGCGTCGGTACCATTGGAGCTCAGTACGGAAAACAAATCTCGCGTCACTTTTCAATTGATCGATTCTCTTCATCGACACTCTCTTTCGTAAATAACTCGGCTTCACAAAATTTGTGTTTTAATGTTTCTTGCCGTCTTCGTCGAATTAGATGCTAAATTGTTGCTTCTTCCATCGAAAATATCCGGCCGTGGCGATTCAAAGTTGATCAAGGTTGATCAAAATAATTTGTACCCCTACTTCCAGTTTGATTACATGAGCATTTTGTGTGATCGTTGGTTCTGAATATGGACAAACAGGCACATGAATTCTATTCCTACTCTTTACTGTAATAAGCTTGGTGGCCCTGAAAAGAGCCGTTTTGTTTCCAAAGTTGGTGATGATTTAACCTCCGAAACCGAACAGAGTGCGTCTCAGTCACTTCAAAAACGTAGATGTCATCCATGGCCGCTTACGCTTGGCGTGTTTAGTGTAGGTGACAGCTTCACGGATCTCATTTTTTAGGAACACTTTCAGCACACCTCGTAAATCAAACCGGAGATACGTCAGACACCGCCACGGCGAGCCAAACACCGGATGGTGGTTATCTTGAAGAATTTGCGTTTGGTTCTGAATATGGCGATGAGTGTGCAAAATATTACGCAATTCCATCCTCCCTATTCGCACGCGCCCGAGGATCGGAGGCGAATGCCGCTTCGACTTGTTTCGTCTACTTACTACTCTCTGACGGCTGTGCTGGGGAAGCAGCATATGCATGTAGGTAATTGGTGGATTTGTTAGTTAATTCAACGCTTTTGGACAATGCTGGACATTTACCAGTTTTTCAATAGTTTCTTGTTGAAAATCAACATTCGGAGTCATTGTTATCGATGCGTAGCCATATTTCTGATCGATTGGTGATGAAATTATTGAAATTGGATCAGGGGCAGCTGAGTTATTAACGTTCAAAATCTTTCTTAATTTGTTACATGTTCCATTTTCGGTTTTCACAAAGTGTACCCCCATATAGAAATCAAAGACGTAGTCCTACGTCAAAAAGAATATTTATACATTGTTAGCATTTTTTTATTAATACGTGAAGTATGTCATTGAAACGTTAATACTAACCATTTCGGTTTTCCAACACTTAATTGATCATGATAATTCATATCTCGATACAGATGCAATATCCGTTTGCACTGTTTACTGCCTTCTTCTTCTTCTTCTTCGCATTTCAAGCTTATTGCATATCGCATATTAGCTTATTGCGTGCTCTCAACTTAGTGTTCTAGATGCACTTCCACAGTTATTAATTGAGAGCTTTCGATGCCTGTACCATTTTTGCATTGGTATAATTGTGTGGCAAGTCCAATCATACTTCTATGCCCAGAGAAGTCGAGAAATTTTCCAACCCGAAAAATTCCTAGACCGGACCGGGAATCGAACCCAGCCACCTCCTGTTTACTGCCGAGTCAGGCTAAATTGACTTTTGGAAAATGCCCATGAATTGTATCTTGTAATCCAGCCCCTGAAATCGAAATTAACAACGTATGACGGATTTCAAATAAAGCGAAATAATATAAAAATACCTTCAAATAGTTGCAGTATGCTGTTAAGGAATCACTTCTTCCACTAATAAAATCGATGCCGCCATATTGAATCACTTTTTCATACATGTAAATCACGTAAACTCATTTTACGTAAGCACACCACAATCACACAACCGCACATAGAAGTTTGATGTGAAAATTTTGTCACATTCATCATCAGCTCCAGTGAACCTGACATGATATGTTTATCAATTTTACTACCATCATGTAAACATGAAATTTGAAGCATTCGAATGAGCTACGTGATTTTTCACGTAGATTGGGCGTGTATATGTTGTAGAGTGTGCATGATTATCACTTACTTTTTACGTGAAATTCCCTTAGCATCAACGAACATGAAAATCACGTAAATTTTATCAAAATTTAATTTGACATTGACGTGAGCCACGTAGAAATGATCGAAGTGGGGGTGTTAAAGAGGTTACGTGATTTTTCATGTAGCATTAACGTGAAGATTTTTTAGAGTGTACAGCGAGCAATACACGTAACAGTTGCTAAAAGAAGTTATGTTTCTATTTCACATGATTCCTGAATGTTATTTTCTAGAGGAAACCTGTCAAAACGTTAACTTTTAATAGGGTGCTCATATTGCCCCGTATGGTTGTTGATCGGCGCAAAAACTTAAATTTTTCGAAAATAATAATTTAATGAGTATATCATATTTATCCATATTTTGAACACAACATATTTTTGGGCTACAACATGGTGACTTGACAACCTGGAAGGAGCGCAATACCTAGCTCTGGTCCTCACAAGTTTCTACTTCACGCCTCCCCGAGTCATATGATAACAAAAGACTACCAGCTGAAACATGGACACAGCTGGGCAGTGATGCCACATATACAGATTTATCTGTAATCATACAGATTTTTCTCGATATTTTTATACAGATTATCTGTATATACAGATTACAGATTTTTTTTAATTTACAGATTTTTCTGATATTTCAAATAAGCAGGATTTATATTTAAATCTGGATTATTTTAATTCATTCCGATACATAATAGTTTCTTCCTTTTGAGCAACTACGAGCACCAAACCCAAATCGTATTTTCGTTAAATAAAGTATTATTTTACTATCTTCGTTAATTCTAATCGGACTTCTAATGTTCAGATGTTCTTATTTCCCGTTAGAAGGGATGTGAGTTCTTCTTTCTTATTGTTTAATTAACCATATCACAAGGTATCGTTTAGGGGAAACAGTCCTATTGTTGTGGTACGTTTGTAGCGTTGGAGATCTCCATACACAACAATAGGCTCCTAACGCTTCTAACGTATCGCAACAATAGGACTGTTTCCCCTACTATGGTTAATTTAATTTTGAATTTGTCGAATCGGTAAACAAGCCGTTTTAACAACCCACAAACTGATTGATTACAGTTGATGACTGTTTATTAGGTATGAATACATAGAGAAATACAAATACTGAATGCCCTTAATTGTATTGGTTCGAGCCACAACAAGCGAGTTCAATATCCTTTCAATTTACCAAATGCTTAAATAAAGTTGAAATATGGTGACTAATTTGAGAAAATGAAACATCGAACATTAACATTTAACATGTAATACTTCATAAAATTTTAATATGGCGTTGCCATACTCATCAAACAAGGCATCCGTTACGATATCCTGCCCCATCCAAAGACGGCCATTATAGAAGCTATGGTTCACATCCTTCAAGGTAATATTATGTTGTTTGCCGTCTACGTGCCCCGTCAGTGCGAGGACAGCAATGGCACTTACAAGCTCTTCGCTGAACACCTCGCCAAACTTACCAACAATAGGATCAGCTTCGTGGTAGCTGGTGAGCTAAATGCTCGCCATACACTGTGGCGTAACCATGTCTGCAATAAAAATGGCATAATCTTGGCAGACCACCTCAGCTTTGGAACGTGCATCATCTACTTTCCAGATGAGCCAACGTTCTTGTCACCGGCGGGAGCGACAAGAACCCTTGACGTGTTCCTATCGGACTTGAATCTATGAATGCACACCAACTCCAGCGCCTGCCAAAAATGATACGGGATTACGATCGAGTCAACTGGGTGGCCTTCAGTGGCATTTGGACACCCACCTTACAGCTAATCCAGCTCTACCAACAATTGTAAGTATCTACAACCATCTGGCGGTGTTCGAGGAAGCCATCCAACCCCCAGAATAAGCCATCCAC